CCTTAAAAGTTGCAAAATTTTGCTACATAATGTGTAAGCTTCGCCCGCAAATGGTTGCTAACAGTTATTGATGAAAGGGGTAATACTGTTGTCTGTTTTATTGTATGTATTTTATTGGTCAACGACTGAAATAAATATGATGATGATACTACACTGTACTGATCGTCACATGTTTTGGAAAGCGATTGTCTCTGTGGGGCATCACATAAGGAAAGGACTCCAGTGACGATCTTGCTGCTCTAAAGATTCAAGGTAGCAATTTGGAATAGCTTAGCCAGCTAATCTAAACCACTACTACCCCAATTGCTCAAAGAAGAGAGGGGAAATAAAAGCTGCTTCTTAATTACTAAAATGTTTCATGTTCTCCTTTATCCAATCCCAGATTTGCACTCCACAGCATTTCCAGGGATATCCTCTCCCTGGTGCAAAACCTTGTGGCTGTTGCATGTCTCAAGGGCAGAGCCAAAGGGTATCTCCATTCCTTGCAGCCTCTAGCAAAATGTATGAGGCATCCAGTGAGAAGGGAAGGTGGAACTGCACAGAAGATCAGTCACATAATGTTAATTACAGGTTTTAAGCAACTTGCTTTTCTTCTGTGTGGTCTCAGTGCTGTCACATACATGGAAGATTAGCAAACTGATCTTCCCACGGGTAGGGGCTCTGTCAAAACTGTAGGATTTGTTTTGGCACCTTATATCCATCTTAAAATGCTTTTTAAATATATGTGATTAGTTTTAGAGTCCCAGCGGAAAAACTGTAGTGGAAGTGTTGGGTATTCTTTACCAAATAAATTACTACTTTGGAATGCCGTTTGGGCGAATGCAAAGCAAGAGAAATAACAAGAGAAAGACTTGGATCGCATCAGATCAAATATGTGCTCGGCTGAGCATCCTGTTTCATGTGAATGCAACCAAATACTCTGGGGCAGATGGTGATTTCTTTGAAACTGGGGACAGCATAAATCCATGATGGCTTGTAATCCTTGATAGATCTGTCCTTTGTACAAGTTGAATCTCTTGCAGATCCACCGAAGGGCATGGTTATCATCATATCTTATGGTAACGGATTTTGATAAGTTAACTATGTCATCAGTACCAGCTCTCTCCACATCTTCTTGAAAGAATTTCCTAAGCTGGTGCTTCTCAACCTCATCAACTTTAAGATGTGTGAACGTCAACTTCCAGAATTCCCCGGCCAGCATTCTGGGAGTTGAAGTCCATACATCTCAAAGCCGCCGAGGTTGCGAAAAGCTTCTCTAAACTGTCTATGTCTAAGTCTGGAGAAGGAAAATCAAAAAGCATGAAAGCTGCGAGTGCATCCAATAATGAGTTCATTTAGCAAGGTATCAATCAGATATCAATTCATAGTTTGAATAGATCGGTGACACTCTCCCTGCCTCTCAATCTGTCATAGAGGAAAAGACTTCACAGAAATAAAGACTCTGGACTGGGCTCATAATCAGACCAACAATGGGACTGCTGATAAAACTGGATGAACTGAAATCACGGGACATCTGTGTTTAGTTTAATTTTCCTAGGATGCATCTTGGAATATTTTTGATCCCCTAAAGTATGCAATCCTATGAAGTTCTCCTTCCCCAGCATTTTTTACTGGGTCTGCAGAAGGAGGTGGGATGTTGTAGAAATACAAAGAACAGACCAATTAACCCAATCAACTAACCAAAGAGGGTTAGGTTTTGCTCTAAACTGTCCTGCATAGGGCTAAACCAATTTCACCCCTTTACTCATGTTGTGGGAACACCTCAATTCAGTCAATTGGCCCATTTTGCAATTTTAGTCCTCCAAGAAAAAGAGCTGGAGAGAAAGAGTGGCTGAAAAATCAAAACTCTCCATTAATGAACTCACTGCCAAGGACTGGCAGCACTGAACATACCTCCCAAACACTGGCTAGTGTGGCCAAGCTGTGCCTATTACTACATGGCTGGTCAGTGGAGAAGGAACTGATGTAACCTTGCCAGGCCTATGTGGAAAGAAGTGGGTGGAGCTCCAGTAACTCCAAGACTGGTGACTTTTAACCAGAACTATTCCTACTGGGTTTCATGGATAAGGAATTAGAAATAAAATATGGGAAATTAATATTGTATATGATAACTGTAACAAGATTATTGTATGCAACGAGCCGGGAAAGTAATGAAATGCCTGCAGTGGAAGACTGGATTGTAAAAATTAACTGAACTTGCAGAAATGGTGAAGCTGACTTGTTTGGTCAGAGAAAAAAAAAATGATAAAAGACTTTTCTGAAAGACGGATTTTTGCTGAAAGAAGAAAAAAATCAAATTGATGATTTCAGGATTTGGGGATTAAAAATGAGATGAAGAGGTTGGGGAAAAGTTTAAGATGATAATTACTCAATAGAAAGAAGGGCAGAAGGCATAATTGTATCCTTTTTCTTTTTCTTCTTTCTCTATTTCTCACTTTCTATCTTTGTCTTTGTTCTGTTTTTCTACATTGAAAAATTCTAATGAAAATATATATGCAAAACTGGTGGCTTTTGACCCTGTTAATGAGATTTTGTGTGCCGGATCACGGATATGTTGCTCTGTTGGGTCAGTAGCTTGGTTTGGGAACAAAACCAGATGGCCAGGATCACCACAAAGCTTAATTCCTCCTTCCTTTGTAAGAGTTTTTTTTTTTTTTCAAAGATGGTATATAATAACAAAAGGGGATGAAATATGTAATCCCAGATAATTTTTCTTTTTAAAGTTAGGAATGAGGATAAACGTTCTAAAGCTCTGCAATTTTTTTA